TACCAAAAATGTGAAGAATGATACGGTTTGGATTTGCATCCCCACCCAAATCTCATGCTGAATTGGAGGAGGGGTCTGATAGGAGGTAACTGTATCATGGGGGCAGATTTCCCTCTTGCCGTTCTTGTGATATTGAGTGAGTTCTCAACCGGGCGTGGTGGCTCACACCTGTAATCCCAGCACTTTGGGAGGCTGAGGTGGGTGGATCACAAGGTCAGGAGTTTGAGACCAGCCTGACCAACATGGTGAAACCCTGTCTCTACTAAAAATACAAAAATTAGCTGGGCATAGTGGCATGCAGCTGTAATCCCAGCTACTCAACCTGGGAGGTGGAGAGTGCGGAGTGAGACAAGATCGCACCACTGCACTCCAGCCTGGGAGACAGAGTGAGACTCTGTCTCAAAAAATAGTGTGTGGCACTTCCTCCTTCCCTCACTCTCTCTCCTGCCGCCATGTGAAGAAGGTGCTTGCTTCTCCTTTGTCTTCCACCTTGACTGCAAGGTTCCTGAGGCCTCCTCCTAGTCATGTTTCCTGGTAAGTCTGTGGAACTGTGAGTCAATTAAACCTCTTTTCTTCATGAAGTACCCAGTCTCAGGTAGTTCTTTATAGCACTGTGAAAATGGACTAACACAAATAATAAACTCAAATTCTTCACAAAACCTCCAGAAAATATGAGCTAACAGAACATTTTCCAACTCATTCTACGATACCAGTATTACCCTGATAATAAAACTAGACAAAGACATCACCAGAAAAGAAATTTATGAACTAGTATCCATTATGAACATAGATGGAAATCCTCAATAAAATACTGGAAAACCAAATTCAGGAACATATAAGACGATTATATATCACCACCAGGTGGGATTCATCCCAAGAATGCAAGATTGTTTTAACATCTGAAATCAATCAAAGTAATACACCGTATTAATAGAAGAAAGGACAAAACACACAGGACCATCTCAAAATGTGCAGAAAGAGCATTTTATAAAATCTAACACGCTGTCATGATACAAACAAAGCAATAAACTAAGAATATAAGGGAACCACTTTAACCTGAAAAAGGGTATCTACAAAAAACCCACAGCTAGCATCATATTTACTGGAGAAAGTATGAATGTTTTTATCCTAAAATCAGGAACACAGCTAGGATGTCCTCTCTCACTACCTCTATTCAGCATCATACTGGAGATTCTAGCCAGAGTAATTAGGCAAGAAAAAAAAAATAAAGCCATCCTGTTTGGAAAAAGAGAAATAAAACCATTTCTATTCTCAGGTGACACAATCTTGTATATACAAAATCTTAAAGAATATACACACACACTATTAGAACTAATAAACAAGTTCAGCAAAGTTTCATGATATAAGGTTGGCATACAAAAATCAGTTTTGCTTCTATAGACTAGCAATAAACAATCTGAAAATGTTTCATTTTATTTTGTTTATTTATTTTTTTGGAGACAGGGTCTCACTCTGTTGCCCAGGCTGGAGTGCAGTGGTGCAATCATAGCTCACTGCAGCCTCAAACTCCTGAGCTGAAGCAAACCTCGAACCTCATCCTCCCAAGTAGCTGGGACTACAGGCACTTGCCACCGCACCTAGCTAATTTTTAAATTTATAATGGAGAAGGGATCTCACTATATTGCCCAGGCTGGTCTGAAACTCCTGGCTTCAAGTGATCCTCCCATCTTGGCCTCCCAAACTGCTGGGATTACAGGTGTGAGCCACTATGCCCACCTGAAAAAGTTTTAGCGAATCCATTTACAGTGGCATCAAAAAGAAGGAAATGCTTAGGATTAAGTTTAACAAAAGTAGTACAAGACTTTTATGTGGGAACCTGTAAAACACTGCTGAAAGTAATTAAATAGAATACATAAATGGAAAGACAGCTCATGTTCGTGGATTGAAAGAGTTAATATTGTTAAGTTAGCAATGCTCCCCAAATTGATCAATCCCTATCAAAATTCCAGCGGGCTTTTTTGATAGAAATTGACAGACTAATGCTAAGACTCTTATGGAAATACAAGGAACTGGGACTAGCCACAACAATTTTGATAAAGAAAAACAAATTTGGAGGACGTATACTTCCTAATTTCAAAACTGCTAAGATACCATACTCAAGATAGTGTCATGCTGGTATAAGAACAGACATGTAGGTCAATAGAATCGAATTGGGAGTCCAGCTATAAACACACTTATGATCAGCTGATATTCAACAGGGTGTCAAGACTAATCAATGGAGAAAGAATAGTCTCTTCAAACAAAGACTGGGGCAACTGGATATCCACTTGCAAAAGGATGAAGTTGGATCCCATAGTGGTTTCCTCACTGCCATGATAAATTACTCTAAACTTCATGGCTTAAGAGCAAAGAAATGTATTGTCACACAGTTCTGAAAGCTGGAAGTCCAAAATTAGGGTGTCATGACAGGGCCATGCTCTCTCTGAAGGTTCTTGGGGAGGATCCTTCCTTGCCTCCTCCTAGCTTCTGGCTTGGAGATACTTTGCAATCTTTGGTTTGCAGACACTTCGCTCTTATCTCTGCCTCCATTGTCACATGGCATTCTTCCTGTGTATCTCTATGTCCCTGTACATGGTGTTCTTATAAGGACACCAGTCGTTGGATATAGGTGCAGTGCTATCTTGTTTACATCTGCAAAGACCCTGTTTCCAAGCAAGGTAATATTTACAGGTGTTGGGAGTTGGAACTCGAATATATCTTTTGATGGAGGCACAGTTCCACCCACAGCAGGCTCCTACTTCCCACCATGTAAAAGCCATCTCAGAATAGATTATAGACCTACATGTAACAGCTTTAACTACAAAACCCTTAGGAGAAACCATAGGCGTAAATTTTTATGACCTTGGATTAAGCAGTGGTTTATTTGATGTGACACCCAAAATGTCAGAAAGAAAGAAAAATTAGATAAATTGGAGTTTCTCAAAAATAAAACCTTTGTGCTCTAAAGGTACTGTCAAAGAGTAAAAAGAGAACCCTCAGAATGAGAGAATGGAAGAAAATATTTACAAATCATATACCTGATAAGGGACTTTTTTATCAAGAATATGCAAATAACTCTTAAAACTCAACAGTAAAAATGCAAACATACCAATTAAAACTTCAGTCCACAAGTTGCCTAATCCAGGGTCACCAAGATTTATATCAATGTTTTCATCTAAGGGTTTTATAGTTTTAGCTCACACATTTAGGTGTATAATCTATTTTGAGTTCACTTTTTTGTATGGTGGGAGGTAGAGATCTGTTGTGGGCAAAGGATTTTAACAGACGTTTCTTCAAAGGTATACAATGGCCAATAAGCCATGAAAAGATGCTCAGTATTCTTAGTCATTAGGAAAATGCAAACCAAAACAGTAACCTACCACTTCATGTTCACTAATTTGCCTAAAATTTAAAAAGGCAATAACAAGTGTTGATGAGAATATAGAGAAGTTGAGGTCCTCATACATTGATGGTGGAATTGTAAAATGGTGCAGCCACTTTGGAAAATAGTTTGGCAGTGTTTCAAAAAGCTAAACAGAAAGTCACCAAACCGCCCTGCCATTCCACTCTAAGATACGTATCCATGAAAAGCAAAAACGTGTCAACACAGAAACTTGTACAAAAATGTACATAGTAGCATTATTCATAATAGTCAAAAAGTAGAAAGAGCCCAAACGTTGATCAACTGAGGAATGGTTAAACAAAATCTGGTTTATCTATATGGTGGAATATTATGCAGCCATAAAAATGAATAAAGCTTTATTTAACATGGGTGAATCTTTAAAATATGCTAAATGAAAGAAGCCAGACACAAAAGATCACATATTGTATGATTCCATTTATATAACATGTCTAGAATAGGCAAATACCCCCCACCCCCTGGCGACCACTAATCTACTGTCTGTCTGTATGAGTTTCCTTGAATGTTTAGTAGAATTCATCACTTAAGCAATCTGAGGTTGGAGTTTTCTTCGTGGGAATGTTTCTAATTATGAATTCAATTTCTTTAGCAGATATAAAAGTATATCAAATTTTTATTTTTTCTTAGGACAATTTTAATGCATTGTGTTTTTCAATGAATTTATCCATTTTATCTAAAATTTTAAATTATTGGCATAAAGCTGTCGGCAGTATCCTTTTACTGTATCATTAAAGTCTTGGGGATCTGTAGTGATGTCTCCTGGCATGGCTAATTTATGTTTTCTCCTTTCTTTTTCTTGATCCAGCCTGCTAAGTATTTATCAGTTTTATTAATCTTAATCAATGTGTGGCTTTTAAATTTTCTCTGTACATTTGCTTTTGATTTTATTCATTTCTGCTGTTAGCTTTATTATTTCCTTTAGTTTTCCTTCTCCTTTTTCTAAATATGCTGTTTTTTCTTTAGTGTCTTGAGATTAAAGCATAGATCATTCATTTTCTACCTTTTTTCTTTTCTAATGTATTCAGAGTTGTAAATTTTCTTCTAAGAGCTGTGCTAACTGCATCCCACAAATTTTGTATGCTATGTTTTTATTTCCATGAATTTATAATTTCTGTTGTGATTTCTTCTTTGACATATTGAATTATCTAGAAGAATGTGGATTATTTCCAAGGGTTTGGGGTATTTTCTATATATATATATATATATATTTTTTTTTTTTTTTTTGGTTATTAGTTTCTAGTTTAGTTTCAATGTAGTCAGAAAACATATTTTATTATTTTAATCATTTGAAATTTGTTGAGATTTATTTATGGCTAGGCATATGGTCTATTTTGGAAAATGTTCCATGTACACTTTAAAAGAGCACATATTATGCAATTGGTGGGCATGTGTTCTATATATTGTCCATTGGGTGAAGCTGGATAACTGTATGCTTCAAATTTTCTGTAGTGATCTTTTATTCAAAATTGCTACTTATAAACAGCACATAGTTGAGATTTTGAAAATCCAATCTGACCCTCATCCTTTTGGGCTGTTAATAGCCCTAGCTCACCACATTCTCCCTTCTGGTTCTTCTACAGCCCACTCACACCTTTAAAAATAGTCTCCTTGAAATTAAATCTTCCTCAAATTATTCTAAATTAAGTGTACCATGTGTTTCAAATTGCAGCCTCAACTGGCTCACTGCCTTCTTTATCCCAGCCTCCATTGCAGTGATGTTGGGGGCCATATGACTACTGCTGACCAATGGACTGTGAACAGAAACGACAGCATCACTCCCATGGAGCCTCCTCCATCTGTCTTCCCTGTTGTGACAATCTCAGAAGCTGCGTTCTTTCCATGGCTGGGCTACAAGGTGGTGAAAGGCTGCCCAACCTGGTAAGTACTTACTTTGTGTAAGAAGGAAACATTGCAAGGGTTGGAGCACTGAGATTCCCGGGTGAGTTTGGTATTTCTGAACAGCCAATTTTGCCTTGACTTGGGATCATACCATATGTCTACTTTGGTACCGTGAGTATAGCTGTTAATGGATATTTGCCCTGTTTTGCCTTTTTACTCCCTTCCTTCCTTGGTTCTTTCATTCATTCTTCTTTCTCTCTTTCTTTTCTCTGTATTTCTTTGCTTTCTCTCTCTTCCTCTATTTCTTTCTCTATTTTTCTTTCTTTCTCAGTTTAGTTCTCCTGTGTTCCTGTTAATTCCAAGCCCTACAATTTTCTTCCAGTGAATTCCTTTTCTGCTTTATCCAGACAGCCAGAGCGGGTTTCTATTGCTGGCAGCGAAGAAACCCAAATGGTATACTATTTTCCGCTTAACATTATATCATAGACATATTTCCATGCTATTAAATATTATTCAAAATATTATTTTAATGGCTGCACAATATTTCATCATATTTATGTACCATAATTTATTTAACCATGCCCATGTGTTTTAGTAAATTATAAACTTCTATTAAATACTTACAGTGAATATTATCATATTTACATTTTTGGCTTCAATCCTGGACAGCACCTTAGGACATCTTCAGAGTGAAATTACCAGCTGAATAGTGTGAACATTTTAAAATCTCTTGTGGCATGAAGTTAATTTTTTTCCTAGAAATTTTATACCAACTTGTATTTTCACATGTGAGATGAATAGGAATACTCAGTTTTACTCCACTCAAAGAGATTGAGTGCTATAATTATATTTAAACATTCTTTGATAAGCTCTAGGAAAAAATCTCATTGATATTTTAATGGGCATTTCTTTGATGACCAATGAAGCTGAATATTTTTAAATATTTTATTACATATTTTTATTTCATCTTCTAAGCATTTGTCATTCACTATTTTTCTATTGGAATGTTCATTCTTAGTGATTTGTAATTACTTTTTACATATTAGAGGTATTAATCTTTTGTCATATTTCTTGCAACCATTTTATTCTTGTTTGCAGTTTCCCAATAAAATAAACTAATTTTTAAAACAGATATTTAAATTTTATGTATTAGATTCTACCTTAACCTTTGTTATTTTTTCTACTGCTTTAGGTTTAAAATGTCTTCATGTACCCACAAGATCAAACATTTGTTTGCTTTTTAATGATTTCCCTTTCTTACATTTAATTCTTTAAATCCTCTGGAATTTATATGAATGTATGGTGTGACGGAAAGAGCTAATTTTATTTCCTTCCAAATAGCTAACCAAATGTCCCGGCATCATTTATTGAATAATCTGTTTCTTCCCTACAGGTTTGCAACGCCACCTCAGTAAGCTGAGATGTGGTAATCGCCATGGCAACGGGGCTGCCTTAAAAGCATTGTGCACACACAGACTGGTGCCTGGCAGAGTTCAGTCTGGTCTCACTGCACATCTTCCCTAATTAAGATGCACCTTTTGGTTTTGTCTTTTTGGGGGAAAAAAATAACAACAACAAAATGCTCCCTTTATAGCCATGAGGCAGAAGAAAAATTAAGGCCAAGATCCTTTCATGCCCAATATGGGCCTGCTTGGCAGTTGGAGCATGAGGGATCATGGGCAGCAAGTGAGAAAGTGCACAGTGATTTGCCGCTGTTACATCCTGAGAAACTGGAGGGATGTCATCAAAGTCCTTGAATAGCTGGAGAGTGGGTGTGGGATGGTTATGTTTGAAAATGCAGCTCTGATATAAAACAAAGCAAAGACTGCACTGTTTGCCCAGCAAGAGCCTTGCTGGAGACCCTAAGCCTAAGAGAGAAGCTTCTGCCATCAACAGGCCACAAAACCCATACTTCCTGCTCTATGAGGCTTCTGAACTTGGTTCCCTGGAATCCTCCCTCCTTACCAAGTACCTGCCTCCAGGCCTAGGGGAGACCAGACCGAGGTCTGTCCTTGTCTACCTACAAGGACAAGGCATTCTACTGCCATAGACCACCTGTTTATGTGCCTCTAAAATTTGTTTGTTAAAGCCTAAATCCCCGGTGTGATGATATTTGGAGGTGGGACCTTTGAATGGTGATTAGGTTTAGATGAGCTCATGTGGGTGGGGCCCTCATAAGGGTATTAATGTCCTTATGTGAAGAGACACAACGGAGCTTGCTTCCTCTCTCTCTTTCCCCACCATGTGAAGACTCAGCAAGAGGGCAGCCATCTGCAAACCAGAAAGAGAGCCCTCACCAGGAACTGGATCTGCTGGCACCTTGATCTTGGACTTCCCAGCCTTTAGAGCTGTGAGAAATGTCGCCCTCAGGTCAATGGGATATTTGTTACAGTACCAGGTACTGACTGAGAACTCCACCTTTAGAGAGGCCCCAGGGAGCCTGTGTGCTGTGTCCCTGAGGAGACAATGAAGGTGCTTGACACCCAGTTTGAATATCGGGTCACGGCAAAGCTGACTGCTGCTGAAGGAGAGATGCCTTCTTATGGCAAGCCATAAGAAGCAGCAGAAGTCATGAGCAGGCTGAAACTATGAGGCCGAGACAAAATGACACATTGCCACAAAAACAGGGACAAACAGACAACAGGCAGAGCCCAAGGGAATCAGTAATCTCCTGCTGCCACTGAGGCCTTGGGACTAACTCAGATCCAGTACTGCTTTCTTAAGGCCTATTCTGATTCCAGTCCCTGTCCTTGGGGTCCCCTGAGATCCCTGTAGCCTTGTAATAAGCCCACATTATTGTATTTCCCCTGCTGGCTTCACCCTAGAGCATTTCCAACAATTTCCAGTGCTTTTCCCCTTCTCATACCACCGGGCCTTTGCACGTGCTAGTGCCTCCCCAGCTAGCCCTGCCTTCTCCTTCACTCACACAACTCCTACTAAATCTCTCAGACTCCTCAGCTGTGTCCCTTCCTAGGGGAGGACTCTCCTCCCTCCAGTGAGCCTGGCAGTCCTCCCTGGCATCCCCTGCTCCTTGTCTTCCCTGCCATCCTCACTGCCATGCTTGTTCTCTGTTCAGAAGGAGGCAGAGGCTGGCCTGCCCCCACTCTCCTGTAGACTGACCAGATGAATTGACCTGGGCAGGGCAGGTGTGTTTGACCAATTATCTGGGCACCCCATGGCTCAGTCAAGTGGACACATAACGTTAACTGCCATAGGGCCCCTTCGTTGTATTTGTCTATGAATAAAAAACGGCATCAACTCCAGGTATCTGAGGGTTCTGGAGGCAAGTTCTGTGATCCCTTTTTACAGATGAGGATGCGGAGGTCCAGTTGTCACTCACCCAGATCACACTGTTATCTGCTGATGGCAGGAGTATTTGACGGGATGTGTGAGCCTGGCCATCTCCCTCGGGACACATCGGCTCATTAAATTTACCAGCCCTTGCCTGAAAAAGTATTTAATTTGCCTTTTACAATGCACCGATTGCAAGTTAATTTTGAAAGTTATAGGTGGCATTAGAATTTATTAATAACATTGGAAATAAATCTCCCCAGAATTCAGTTAATTGAAAACCTCATGAAATTCTTTTTTTACAATCCATAAAGCCGGTCTGGGAGAGAGGTGTTCCAGGAACCTCGGGAGTGGTTGGAACTGCAGACGTGGAGGGTTGGAGTGGGGAGGGGGCTTCCGTTCTGATGTAGGCCTGTCTTGGCTACCACCCGCCCCTGCCTATAATCTCCAACATGGCCTCTTAGGGTTAGGGAAGAAGCCACGTCCCCATCGTTAATGTCCTACCATGTACCAGTGTCAAGGAAGAAGCCACACCCCCATTGTGAATGTCCAGCTATGTGCCGGTGTCAGGAAAGAAGCCACGCCCCCATCGTGAATGTCCTGTCATGTGCCAGTGATTCATTTGCAGTGATTCATCTGCTGTGCACCTGACCTGAGCTGGGGACTCAGACGTGACCTGGCCCACAGGACCCTCACAGGTGACTGGAAGAGACAGAGCTGGGAGGGTGCGCTTTGGATTTAGGGAGGTGAGGAGTGAAGCTGGGGAACCCCAATGGCACCTTGACTACCCTTGGCTGAGCCTAAAGCCAGAGTCGGGCTCTTTCTGCCACTCCGGTAGGAGAGTTGCCCCTTGTGGGTCTTCAGGACATGCCAGGAACAGGCTAAGAAGAGCGTGTCTTCGTGCGAACCTCTGAGGTTCAGCCCAGCCCGGGCCACCTCCACACTGTGGCTGTCATGTCAAGCCCTTGCCAGAGTTACCGCCTGATTCGGGGGGTCCTGACTTTCTTCTCTGGCTGGTGGCAACTGTGGCGGGGCAGGCAGGGGTGCCTGGCTGGGGACTAAGAAGTTGCTTTCAGGCCCAGATTCTGGGTCCCAAAGCAGGCCTGCCTGCCAGGGAGACCCTTGGGCCTCCTACCACTAGAAGAGGGGAGGCTCCAAGGTAGGGTCCTGTCTGACCTGCAGCCTTGCTCCACCCCAGGGCTCAACTGGGCTGAAGGGATGAGGACAAGAGGGTCCCACAGAGCCAGAGAACTCAGTCACAGTCCAGGGCCTTGGGTGCACCAAGGACTATGATTCAAATGAGTTCTAGTCCCTAGGAGAGAGGCTTTGGAAGAAAAGGCATTAGCTGGTTGGGTGTGGTGACTCATGCCTGTAATGCCAGCTCTTTGGGAGGCCAAGGCAGGAGGATCACCAGAGATCAGGAGTTCAAGACCAGCCTGGCTAACATGGTGAAACCTCGTCTCTACTAAAAATACAAAAATTAGCCTTGGTGGCACACGCCTGTAGTCCCAGCTACTCGGGAGGCTGAGGTAGGAGAATCGCTTGAACCTGGGAGATGGAGGTTGCAACGAGCCAAGATTGTGCCACTGCACTCCAACATGGGTGACAGAGTGAGACTTGGCCTCAAAACACAAAACAAAAAAAAAAAGAGAGAAAAGAAAAGGTGTTACTGAAGTGGTGTCAGTCCCTTCCCCACCACACACACCCTGTAGGCACACATGTGCCCAGGTGTGTACACACTGTAGCAGATACGCATACCCACACACACATATTCAAGCACACACTCGTGCATATGTGTATATGCACTGGACATACACACATATTCTCATGCATGTACACTTTTACACATGCACACATGTGCACATGTGTACACACAAAACACTCATTCTTATGCATGTGCATTCTCATGTGCACACACGTGAACACACTCATTTTTATGCATGCACACACTTGCATATGCACACACATGTATAGCAGGGGCTAGAGTTAGTTGGCATTTCAGAAGAAATGTCGGGTTTGATCTGGACGCTGGGCCACAGACGGGGCGTGCGCAGGAAGCAGCCGTCGGAGGCAGAGGCACGAGAGCAGAGGAGACAGGCAGGAAATCTGAGACAGCCATGTCTGGGTCAGGCGAAGTGGGGACAGGGTGGAGCAGGGCGGGGCGAGGTGAGCAGGGGCCTGCGCTAATTATCCCTCCTTAGTGCCCAGGCAGGTGGCCTCAGACTGGGAGCTCTGGGCACACAGGCAGTGAAGGCTCTAGCCAGCCCTTCCCCAGCTCTGGCTCTCAAAGCTCAGCTGTGAGCCAGGAAGGGACCTGGAGGCTCCTGCCAGGACTGGGCTGACCCTGGTGAGTCCCCTTGCCCCAGGAGGCTGTGGGGAGGGAGGGCAATTCTGGGCAGACGAGGATGACCGTGGTCCAGACCTGCAGGGTTCTAGCTGAGAGCCCAGGGTGCTTTGCTTCCTACGCCGAGTCTTGGGCCCTGTGGACAGCTTGGAAGTGCAGGTGGCAGTGTCCACACATGCACACAAGGACCTTTCTGATGCTGGGGAGAGGATCAGATGGGCCTGCCCTGTCTCCTTGGCTGCAGAGGTGAGAGGAGGAGAAGATTTGAGGAGGTCACACAAGGCCAAAGAGCTAGGCTCCCCTTGGGGCTTTGAGGCCCTTCCCCCAACAGCACTGTCCCTTTTCCTGCAGACACTTAGCGCTGTTTTGTACTGGGGAGCCAGCCTCCACGGCTGGACAGAGATGAGACCAGGCAATGGGCAGACCTCCTGGCTGACTCCTGCGGCTGCAGCCTCTATGTGTGCAGAAGGCAGCCAGGACAGGGACCCAGGTGACAGCACCAGGGGGCAGAGCTCAGGCTTGAGGCCAGGAACAGGGGAGCCACAGTAGATTCATGAGTGAGGGACAAGCGACGCCAGGCTTGCACTTCCGAAAGGTCATTCTACAGCCAGACGGTGCGGAGAGGCCAGACCAAGACCCTGACTCCTCTGCTGACTCTTAGGGGTCAGTTTCCTCTCCCTCCAGCATCACAGTCCTCTGAGATCCCTGACCTGGCAGTTGCTTCAATGTCCCGGGAGATTCATTCCACCCTTACCCAAATCTGCTCTGCCCTTCATCTGCCCCTAGCCTTTGCTCACACTGGGCCTCTTCGGCAGCACCACCCCTGGGTTTATGTGAACTCTGCTTTTCATTCCAGAACATCTTTCAGCGGGGCAGAGCATGGCTTCCCGAGTCCCACAGACCTGGTCTGGAACTCAGCTTCACCGCCAACTGCCTGTGTGACCTTGAGGAAGTTACATAACCTCTCTGGGGCTCAGTTGACTCACCCCAAAATGAGAGAGGTGGCTGTGACGTTAAAGGAGGTGACACATTTCACTGTTTAGCACTGGATCTGTCCTCACCATATTAAGGACCAATTCACACCCAGCCCCTTGGGGGAGACCTTCTCCCTCAGCCCTGTCTCAGACCTCCTCTGGGACCCATAGTATCTGCCACCCTGGCTCCATCCAACACACTTCGGGCTGGCCTGTCCACCCTGCTGGCAGGAGCTTGGAAGTTCTTTTTCCCTAAACATTCCTCATACAGCCCTCTGCCCCTCCCCCTAAACTCTGCTGGTCCCATCCAGGCCCTCCTATGGCAGGATCCAGGGACCAGAGGACAAATTAAGGCATCCCATGAGTCTATTTAAAAGTTACACATCGAGGCCGGGCGCGGTGGCTCACACCTGTAATCCCAGCACTTTGGGAGGCTGAGGAGGGTGGATCACCTGAGGTCAGGTGTTTGAGACCAGCCTAGACAACATGGTAAAACTCCATCTCCACTAAAAATACAGGGGGAAAAAAATAGCTGGGTGTGGTGGCGGGCACCTGTAATCGCAGCTACTCAGGAGGCTGAGGCAGGAGAATTGTTTGAACTGGCAGGCGGAGGTTGCAGTAAGCCGAGATCGCGCCACTGCACTCCAGTCTGGGCGACAGACAGAGAGAGAAAAAAAAAAAGCTATGCATTGAGCTAACCAGCTGTTAATTAAAACAGGCTCTGTCTTCCTACTTTGACAGGTATTCCTTTCCAAGGGCCTGGAAGGCCAGGTTTGACGTTGGAACTGTGACTGTCAGTCTCATGCTGGAAGGTGATGGCCGGGGAGCGTCAGCCCCTGTCGTCCTCCAGCCCTTCTGCTTCCCTCACTAACTTCCACCTTGCCTGGCAGGGGTCTTCTCAGGGTGCACCTGAGGGTGCCCACCTGGAGCATCTAAGCTCAGTTCACACCCTTCAAACTCAGCAGCCCCTTGGTCGAAAGACAAAGGCGTCAGTGGGTGTGGGGTCTGCCCTTAAGACAGAAGGAAGAAGACCTCGGCGGGGAGAGGGGGCAGCTCTGGGGGAGGACATTTTGGTGTCCTGGGCAATGCAGGCAAGTCTCTCTCTTAGGATCCCATCTCTGCCACTGGGTCTGGGGGAATGAATGCCTGCTGGTCTACTTCCTCGAGGAGAGGAGGTATTTTTTCACACAAAAAAAATTAAAATAATTTTTAAAAATTAAAAAATGAAACTAATTGTCAGCTCTCAGTCCTCAGCGCTTCCATATTGCTGATCATCTGGGCACGGCTAGGTTTCTAGCCTATCATTTTACTGGCTTTAAAAATATATACACTTATCACCTATTTTGGTTTGGTTTGGTTTGGTTTTTGAGACGGAGTCTTGCTCTGTTGCCCAGGCTGGAGTGCAGTGGTGCGATCTCGGCTCACCGCAGCCTTGACCTCCCAAGTTCAAGTGATTCTCCTGCCTCAGCCTCCAAGTGGCTGTGACAACAGGTGCATGCCACCACATCTGGCTAAATTTTTTTTTTTTTTAGAGATGGGGTCTCACAATGTTGTCCAGGCTGTTTATTACCTATTTTGACTTCTTCCCCTTGAAGTGTTGGTTCATTGAGGGCAGAGATTCCTGTCTTTTGTTCATGGGAAGTTCTCAGGGCCTGGCTCAATTAAGGTGATCAATAAAATATTTGTTACATGAAGGAAAGGAGGAAGGAAGGAATGATACGTAGTTTTGTAACTCCTGCCCTGGCAAAAGGAATAAAAGGGGTGAGGACATTTCTCCAGCCTAAACATACTCACACTCCCTGCCTGGGACAGTTGCCCAGTGGTTCCTGCCAAGGTTTGACTTCAGGCACCTGCCCCACCCCGGGTCTCCCTGTTTGCTGAAAGAACTGTGCCTGCTGGGCCCAGGACCTGTGGCTGGAGGAAGCGTCCCAGAGCCAATGGGGCCTGGAAGAAGAGGCTCTGGCTTAAGGAACGTGTCGCCTATTCACCAGCAAATAAAGACAGATGAAGCTCCGGCAGACAATCTCTCTGTCTCTGTCTCTTGTTTCTCTCTCCCTCTCGCCTCTTTCTCTGTCTCTCTTTTCCCTTCCCTCCCTCTTTCTCTCTGTTTCCCTGCTCTCTTTGCCCTTTTGGTCTCTGGGTCCTGGACTCTCAGAGCAGCCTGGAATCTCCTTCCTCCACACGATTGCTGTGGTGCTTTTTTATGTTTATTTTTTAGAGATGGGATCTCGCTCTGTTGCCCAGGCTGGAGTGCAATGGCGGAATCATGGCTCACTGCAGCCTCCAACTCCTGGGCTCAAGTGATCCTCCCACCTCAGTCTCCCAAGTATCTGGGACTACAGGTACAAGCCACCACCACGCCAGGCTAACTTTTTTTTTTTTTAACTTGTAGCAACAGGGTCTTGTTATGTTGCCCAGGCTGGTCTTGAACTCCTGACCTCAAGAAATCTTCCCACTTTGGCCTCCCTAAGTGCTGGGATTACAGGTGTGATCCACCATGCCTGGCCTGGTGTGGTGTTTAACGTTCACCCTCTCTATAGGATTTCAAGCTCCAGGCAGAGGTAGGCAGGGTTCTGTTTGTAGCTGGGCACTGGGCACAGGGTGATATGGTTTGGGTGTGTCCCCACCCAGATCTCATGTTGAATTGTAGCTCCCATAATTCCCATGTGTTGTGAGAGGGACCCGTTGGGAGGTAATTTAATCATGGGGGCGGTTCCCCCATACTGTTCCCATGGTAGTGAATAACTAAGTCTCACGAGATCTGATGGTTTTATAAGGGGAAAACCCTTTTGCTTGGTTCTTATTCTCTCTTGCCTGCTGCCATGTAAGACGTGCCTTTCCCCTTCCACCATGACTGTGAAGCCTCCCCAGCCAGGTGGAACTGTGAGTCCATTAAACTTCTTTGTCTTTATAAATTATCATAAATTACCCAGTCTCGGGTATATCTTTATCGGCAGAGTGAGAACAGACTAACACACAGGGCAAGAGCTTAATACCTACAAAGGTCACAGGGTGATTCAGCAGTAGTTTGGGTCTCTCTGTTGTACCTGGGACTTGTCATCAGGGTATATGTGCCTCCCTGGGGTCTCTGATATGTCACTGACCCCAGTCCTGGACAGGAGCATGGAGCAGGATCAGGGTTGCTCCTCCCAGAGCCCCAAGGCCACCCCAACTTAACTCACCTTCTTGCAGAGCTGGGGGCCAGGCCCAGCTTACAGACAGTGTGGTTGGGTGGAAGGGTGAGGTGGCCTTTGAAGGGGCCTCCCTCACCCTCTGGAGGTAAGAAACAGATTTTGACTCTGGAGGGACGGCTCAGACACAGGACCTAATTGAGGACTAGCTAAAACAGGGACAGAGTGGAAGCATCTTTCCATTGGACATGCCCACCAGTGTGCCATGTCAGTTTACTATCGCCATGGCAATACTCAGGAGCTACTGCCCTTTTCCATGGCAAAGATCCAATGACCCAGAAATGACCACCCTTTCCTTAGAAATCTCTGCATAAACCAGCTTTTAATCTGCCTGCAATTAAAAGTAGGTATAAATATGGTGCAGAACTACCCTGAACTGCTGTTCTCTGCCTGGGGAGAAGCCCTGCTCTGCAGGAGGAGTCATGGAGCTATAACCCTGCCCCTCCAATAAAGCTGTTTCTCCTACCTTCAGCTTGCCCTTGAATTCTTTCCTGGGTGAAGCCAAGAACCCTTGCAGGCTAAGCCCCAATCTGGGGCTTGCCTATTGTGTGTCACTCCCAGCCCCTTCCCTGGAGGTCCTGAGGGCAGAGCTGGACCTCCCTGCCACAGAGGCCCTGTGGTCACCCCGGGCCTGGCTGGAGCTGCTCACAGCTTTCCTGTCACCTGGCCAGTGAGATGCAGACCAGCCTCTTGCTGTCACCACACAAACAGACCCACAGTGGGGAGAGCACCTTTATTGTCAGATACAATAATAACGCTACAGGCTGGTGGTCCCGCCCGCCTCTGACCGCCCCTCCATGAAGACAGCCTCTCCAGACCTGCCTCAAGGGCCGGAAGAAGATCCCAGGGCCCAGAGGGACCAGGCCACAGCCGAACAGGAGTACCAAGAGCACTGGAGACAGTCACTCCTGCTGTGAAGACAGAGTGCCCCAGGGTGGCGCCAGCACCTTCAATTCTCTGAGTTTGCTGTCGTGGCTGTGTCCCAGGTCCCAGCCCAGCAAGAGAGGAGCACCAGGGCTGAGCTGACCACAGAGACCCTGGCCCCAGAGGCCTTGAGGGCTCCAATCAGAGCTGCTCTGGGCGGCTAGGGACCTGGTGCCTGCCGTGGAGCCTGCCAGGCTCCCCAACTCTGGAAGGTGGGAGGCAGGAGCATCTCTTCCCAGCAGGCCTGGGACTCTGTTTCCCTCTCTGCAGTTTGCAAAGGGGATATTGGACTTGCTGTGCCATGCAAAAGTAGCAAACCTACAGAGTCCCCTGAGAGACGAACTCGTGGGGTAGAGGCTGGAAGTCCCACCTCTGACAGACACGCCCATGAAATGCTGCCTCCGGATCAGGGATGGGACGGACCCAGAGAGGGCGGGTGGGCTCAGTGAGGCTGGGAGGCAGTGGCTGGTGATGCCGATCTGGTTTTGGGGGGCCCTTGCACCCCCAATGCTGCTCTCTCAAGGTCCTCAAGTCTGTGTGGCTGGCAGTGACTTATTCAGGATCTCCCTGGCCTCTGAGAGCAGCTGCAGGCCAGGCCGCCGCCGCCCCCCCAGCCAGTGGGGAAGGGGGTTGAGGAAGGGAAGCCCCAGGCCCTGCAGGACCCTGCCTATCCCTTCAGACCGGCTGGCCCAGCCTCCCCGCAACCCTGCTTGCCTTAGGGAACCATCCTGGCCCTGCACCCTCCCTCTGAGTTTTCTCGCGAAGAGGGGAAGCTGGCAGGGTCGAGAGAACATGGCTTCAGGAACTGAGGGGCCTGGGTTCAAATCCCGCCCTTGCCACCCATGACCCGGTGGCCAAGGGAGGGTTATTTATACCATCCGAGCGTCGGTAATAAGCTTACCTCCTAAGGGTTAAATATGAGACAACGTAAGGAAAGTTCCCTGGACAGGGCCAGTTACAGCAGGGACTCAATACATGATGGGTATTAGGATTATTCTTATTCCCAGCACCCAGCCCACCCAGACCCCGTCTCCAGCCGGGAGTGGGGGTGGGGGAGGGGCAAGGCCAGAGAAGGGCTCTGATGAGGGTGTTGGCCCCTCCAGACCCTGCCCCTGGAGACATCATCTGTCCCCAAAGCCCCCCAGGTCCTCATAATCATCCATGCCTGGAGCCCAGTTCCCCTGGGGGCATCTTTAGGAACCAGCGGCGGCTCAGGCCTCTGGGGCTGGGTCTCTAGCCAGGACAGGGTGTCCTGGAGCAGTGGGCTCTCACTTCCTGCTGCTGGCCTGGTCCATGCTCTTCTGTCCAGGGTCGGGCCCAAGCAGGGCAGCAAGAACCCCATCGGGTTGGGGGCCACCCCTCTTCATCTTGAGGTTGGCTCTCAGGGCGGCATCCTGGCCAGAACCTCCCTCTGGGGAAGCCAGGGGATCTGGAAGGAGAGCAGAAGGGTGGACTCCAGGTAGAGCCTTAGGAACACTTGGGGGCACCTTTGATCATGATACGTGGTTGCGGAGAGATGCTCTTGTCCGGCATGGAAAAGCAAGACAGCAGCAGGCTTTCAGCTCCTGATACATTCATTCATGGATCCATGCATCCATCCATCCATTCACTCATTCACCCATCCACCTGTCCATTGACCCATTCATCCATCTGTGTATCCATCCATTCATCCATTCACCCATTCAACAATCCACTCAGTCATTCATTTATCTTTGCATCTATCCATTCATTCACTCATTTATCTGCCCATCCATCCATCCATCCATCCATCTGTCCATCCACTCACTTATCAACCCACCCACCCATCTGTCCACTCATCGATCCATCCATCCATCCATCCATCCATCCACTCAGTCATTCATTTATCTATGCATCTACCCATTCATTCACTCATTTACCCATCCACCTATCCATCCATCCATCCATCCATTCATCCATTCCCTCACTTATTCACCCACATACCTGTCCACTTATCCGTCCATCCATCCATCCACCTATTCATTTATTTATCCATGCCTCTACCCATTCACTCACTCATCCATCTATTCACCTGTCCATTCAACCATTCATTCATTCATCTATCTATGCATCCACCCATTCACACATTCATCCAGGCAACCAGCCATTTATTCACTTACTCACCCACCCACCCAGCTGTCCATTCACCCATTCATTCATCCATTCGTTCTCCAACAAATGCTGACGGGCCTGTGCTCCAGGCCCTGCAGAAGCACCATTTACTGTTCTGCACAAGGGACTCCCAGAGGGTCACAAAAACACCATCCCAGCATGGA